TCACCATCAAATTTCCCGACCCATCTGCCCGACCCACGTTTTTTGTCATCAAATGTATGTAAATAGTTATTTTCTACTTTTTAGTCCACAAGAAAAACGTGGTTTTTTAAAAAGTTTTTTTTTAAGTATTTTATTTTCTCCTTTTTAGTCCGTTGCTACACATGAAAAACGTGGTTTTTAAAAAAGTGTTTATAAATACACGGACTAAAAATCTTGAGCGACCAGGATTCGAACCTGGGTTGTCGCGGCCACAACGCGAAGTACTAACCACTATACGATCACGGCCAGCGCGCTCACTCGATTGGGGCCAAAGTAACTGTGTCAATAGGACTGCAGTCTTGTCGGTATCTTTAGAAATCATGTCCTCAATTTTATGGTCCTTGGGGCGTAATTAAATTAAGCTAATTACGGTCACTAATTGCTAGTTTTTATGATTGCATCTGAAATTGTTAGGCGAAAGTAGCATGCATGCCAAATTTCAGGTCTCTAGAGCAATCAGAAGTGGGCTAATTTTCGATGTCAATTTTAACAACAAACATCCAAACAAACAAACAAACGCGAAGCTGAGTTAAGAAAAACGTTTTAAAATACCCGTGTTTTACCTACAATATTTCACTTTATCCATTCACGCATTTTTTTTCCAGTACTTTAAATTTTAAAAATTTTCAATAAAGTTTCTTAACTAAAACCATTGCGCACCTAATGAACGTGATGACGCGTCTATAATAGAGCTGAATAGTTGATTAAAAATTATAAGTAATAAACAGTAGGGCCTACATTTAGTGAATAAAATAAATAAAAGTTTCCCTTTTATCAATCCATGCTAATTATAATTTTCTAACAATAATTTCCTCTTACACATCCGAAAATTTGCATTCATATTTTGCTAATTATATTATTGCAACACTAATTCCTTTTATGACGAACGTATATTTGCATTCACATTTTTATTAGCGTGAGTTTAATGTATTTTTAAATTACCTCCTTTGCAAAATTAGAAAAAAAGAGTTAAATTAATTTGATTTTTCTACCGTACTGTTATTATGTTATTAAAATGTCTACATCTTTTCATGGCATAAAAAAGAAAATAATATTTGACATTGATCCTTTTAATATGTTTTAGCAGTGTGCGTGTATTTAATATTCTCTTTACGTTATGCACAATTGTACAAACAGTGGAAATTATAAAATAGCTCTATTTCCTTATATAAACAAACCCTACTCTATTATTTATAGTTAGACACTGCGGTGCACTCAAAAGCACTGCATGGTGCATAGTTTACTTTTATGTTTCCAAAATCTATAACGATGACGGACGGAAGGACAGACACAGCCCGCTTATATTGGTGGCCGGAAAGAACCGCAACGGAAAAAAGCGCAACGGAAAAAAGCGCAAAACAAAAAGCGCAACGGAAAAAAGCGCACACGGAAAGGTAGGTAGGTGAATAGGTGGGTAGTAGGTATGTAGGTAGGTGCGTCATGATGTGAAAAAAATATTAAATACAAAATTGTTATTTTGGTGCGAATGAAAATTGTTACGAGAGATATGACGAATGCATGTTTGATGACGCGGATGAAAGAGAGTGAAGTTTTGCCATAGGAACGGGTTGTTATGGTATGCAAGCTAGGTAGTTCGGACTAGGGAGAATGTGAAAGATACTTTGTGTAATGTCGATAGTTTTATGTTTATACGAGAATAGTAGTTGAATAATTATTGACCAAGAAAATAATAGGCATTGTGTAAAGTGATTATCGCCTGTATCGTGGTGAGGGGAATGCACATGGTAGTGGTACGCTTTAAATGGTAGTAGATCACGTGATCAAACACGACACTCTCACAGCAGCCCTAACAGTCATGTTATCTAGTTCATATGGTCTTTGTGCTAAATTTCTCTTTTGCACATTTTTCGTTGTGTTTTTTCTGGTTGCGCATTTTTCTGTTTCTGTTTGCGCTTTTTTCCGTTTGCGCTTTTTTCTGTGTGCGCTTTTTTCCGTTTGCGCTTTTTTCCGTTTGCGCTTTTTTCTGGTTGCGCTTTTTTCTGTGTGCGCTTTTTTCTGTTTGCGCATTTTTCCGTGTGCGCTTTTTTCTGTTTGCGCATTTTTCCGTTTGCGCTTTTTTCCGTTTGCGCTTTTTTCCTTGTGCGCTTTTTTCTGTTTGCGCTTTTTTCCGTGTGCGCTTTTTTCTCTTTGCGCTTTTTTCCGTTTGCGCTTTTTTCTCTTTGCGCTTTTTTCTGTGTGCGCTTTTTTCTGTTTGCGCTTTTTTCTCTTTGCGCTTTTTTCTCTTTGCGCTTTTTTCTGTGTGCGCTTTTTTCCGTTGCGCTTTTTGTTTTGCGCTTTTTTCCGTTGCGCTTTTTTCCGTTGCGATTCTTTCTGGGAACCATTATAGATACTTTTATGTATTAAATATTTAGAGAGTGCAAATTAACTTAGGATTAATTAAATGTAATGTAATGTGTGTAGGCTGTATACGCATAGGAATTTTTATAATTCATCTAAAAATATTTATTATGAAGTATGTAGATTGTAATTATTTTAAACTTAAGATTAGTAGCATTTAATAGAATGCCCCTAAGTCCACGTTTTTCATCGTGTTTTTTTTACTCTCTCGTATATACGAAGTATAGAGAAAGTATTGTAATCGTGCACAAAAATCACTTGAAATTTTAACAATTTTCACCGTTTTACACCTCAGTCCTTCATCATATCCGAAGTATAGAGGACTTATTTTAATCGGGTAAAAATTATCAATCCAGATTTATCAAAATTAAGAGGTTTTATGCGTAATCCAGTCTGAAAAACTGGGCTATGCAATTCTGTCCGTATGTCTGTGTGTGTGTCTGTCTGTGTGTAAACACGATTACTTGAGTACCGTTACAGCTAGGTTGATGAAATTTCACATATAAGTATTTTATCAAAATCGTAGATCCGTATCAACTTTTGAGCGATTTCCGATAACCGGAAGTGGTACTTTTCCTACTTTGAATTTTTCAAAAGCCTATAACTTGAGTACTATTTCAGATAGATAAAGTATTTAAAATGGATTAAAAATCAGCCCGAGTTCCCATCCCCTGTTGTTTTATATAAGAATATTCGAGAAAGTTTAGGGGAGATCACTCCCGGTTTATTAAAATACCAATTTTAAATTACCGTGAAATGGTAAGTTCATCGGACTTGCTGCCCTCAACTCATGGCAACATTAGTTACGTTTAGTTCAACCATCTTTACTGCCCACATTTATCACGCTCATTACATAACAAAACTTAGGATCAAAACAGACAGCCGACAAGGTTCAAAGGCTGTCATTGATGCGTAACGTAAACAACACAAAATATGTTCGGACAATGCCTACTGAGGAGAGGCCGACCAGAGAATAGCTTACGGCAAAATTAATTATCTTAGAGTATTTTTACTTACAATTGTTATAAATCATAATGCTTTTAACGTCTATAAATAATTTATGCTACCAAAAAATACAACCCACAACAATAAACATACAAAATTTACAATTCTTAACAAATTAATAAAAATATTTCTAAAAAGATTTTTGTAACTTTTTTTCTGTGACTTTATTTCTGTGACTTTTTTTCCGATAAAATTTTTCCACTGTGACTTTTTTTCTGTGACTTTTTTTCCTAGCAAAAACTGTGACTTTTTTTTCTGTTTTTTTTTTCCTGTGACTTTTTTTCCGTTCACCACCACGCACACCCGGGGGGTTTTGATCTACAGCTGCCGTTAGCTCTTACAGCACCCTGGGTGTGGCCAAATCATTTAGTGGATCTGCCTCTTGAATAGCGACCCACCGGTCCAGCGGAAACGTTGGCCAGATTAACAAAGGGACTGAAACCGCCCACGACATTTATTGAACCGGTAAGCTGAATGACGACCAACCGGTCAAGCAGATCGCTGGACGGCCCTAAACAGCCATCCCTGTGATCAATAGAGGAAACGGTGGCCAGGTAACAAAGGGACGTAACCGCCCAGATCACTTAGTGGATCTGACACTGATTATCGCCCACAAAGAAGCCTGAGCTGACCAAAGTTTGACCGGGGGGGGGGGGGGGGGAGAACGGGATCAGTGATGGCGGTACGCAATGACAGACTTGCTCTTTGACACCTAGGACATGACGGCTATGCTATATATACGGACCCAACGAAACGCGATGGGACAGGACGACCAGATAGCACGCGAGAGACGACAGAGCACTCTGGTAGTGGTAGAAAGTAAATCCAGACTAAGTTAAGAAATCAGAACGAACGTGTTTGCTGTAACAAGACTTAGAGTGAGTAAGTTTGTGCGTAGCTGTCATTGTTAGTGGATACGTTGTGAATGTAGTAGCCTATATGAATTAAGAATGCGTGTGAATGTAGTACATTGTTAGTTGATAAGCTGTGAATGTATGTACGAATGTATGTTAATAGAGTATTGTAGTGTAAGAATAGCTTGTGATGATTAACCTTTTTTGTATCGATTTATTTACAGACTGTGGAGGTCTGTTGGTTTTTTTTTTTTGTAAATAAAGTCATCGAACCTACCATTGTGTAGAGGAAAGCGTGTTGCTGCATTTCTTTCCATTGGTTACATAGTATGATAAAAACAAGGTAAAGAATATATGTTTGTTTTCAGCAGACAGAACAGCAGTAATTGGTTACTGCAGTTTTAATGTAATTTATTTAATAAATCAAAAATCAAATTGTAATTCTTTTAACCCATGTGACAAAATTTTAAAAATTAATATTTCAAAATTTAATAATTAGGGATGTTTATTTTAAACTATTTTTATAATAGTATAAAACTTCCAAAACGAAAATGTGTTGCAATTGAATGAATTGTTTAATTTTTAACAGTAAAAATATTAATTTCTAAAATAAATTAAGATAACTAAATATCACAAAGACCACATTCACACACACACACACACACATATATATATATATATATATATATATATATATATATATATATATAACAACACAGATTTTAAAAATACATTCAAGTAATTGTTTCAATTTCATTTACTTCAAGCGAAAGTCATTTTTAAAACAAAAATGGATAGGGGTAACTTTAAATGAAAACATCTTAATTCCATCAATAACATAGATAGAATTTGCATATAAACTATACTAACACAACTTTTATGCATACAACTTCTATTTACAGTTAGCTATATACAAATAAATGCCCCACAATGAGTATAGAGGACTAAGTCAAGTCATATACAAATAACTATTAATTTCTCTAAGAAAGAAAATGTTTTAATACTTTTAATGGAACTAGATACTTTTTGACAAAAGTACTTTTTAAACTATGAATCCCATCTAACTCCTACATAATATTTTTCAAAAGGGGGATAACTGTATTTAAGTAAATATCTTGGAACAAGATATTTTTTTAATATTAAAAATGTAAACAAATGTGTACTATTCTACCACTAGAATAAAAAGGGGAATTAGTAGGCTGTTAAGTATCTACTGTGGGTTATGGAAAATAATTTTGTATAACTGTACAAATGTAATGATAGGTATAAAAGAACTGGAACCTAGAGTATACTGTAGAGTATACTGTAAGAAAATGTAAAAATTCATAGTTTTAAAAAGTAATGTGTGATTCATACTCGTTTTATCTTTTATACTACATTTTAAAAATTAGACTAAAGCTAATGAAAATAATAAAACCAGGTTTATAAAGCAATGAATGAATAAATAGAGCTATACCCTAAATTTTCAAAATGTATCAAGATCTTTACTAAAAAAACTGGGGATTAGCTTTAAATGTTTATAAATCTATAACAAACATAACATACTTTTATACATCATATGAATGTACAGAAACCCCTAATGAATCAGTAGTTGAAGGACTAACTATTAGAGCCTACATAGCGATGGAAAAAAAATTAATCTAGATCCTGATTAATGTAAATTAATGTAAATTTTTATATTCGCCACTAGATGTAGCCTTTTTTTTCATAATAAAATTTTGAAAAAGTGAAAGCACTGTGACTATGTTTAGAAAATTTGTAAATGCCTTTGAAAAATAGAATAATGTCATTTCAGAATTTTAAAAACTTCTCTGGTATTGGATGTTTATGAAATAACCATAATTTATATTCAGCTGTAATTTTCAATGACTGAAATTTTGAAAACAAATATAACAAGTGGCCAAAAGTATGTATTTTGCAAAACAATAACCAAAACAGGTAAATTACTGATGTATTAAAGTGATCTATCCTACAGCTACAGAGCTTGCTTGTGACGCTATTCCATTTTGCTCTCTATGAGGTTTTGGCAAAGGGCGTCGGAAAAGTAAAACATGAGGTTCTAAAAAGAAAAATATAAGGCATTAAACAAAACATTATAAATATATATATATATATATATATATATATATATATATACACAAATATATGTGTATACATGTATATGTATGTGTATTTGTGTGTATATGTGTGTGTAAATATGTGTATGTATATGTGTGTATATATGTGTGTATATATGTGTATATATATGAGTATATATATGTGTGTATTCATATGTGTATATGTATGTGTATTTATATATGTTTATATATGTGTATATATATGAATATATATATGTATATATATATGTTTATATTATGTATATATACATACATATATATATATATGTATACATATATATGTATTCATATATATACATATATACGTATACATATATACGAATACATATATATATACGTATTCATATATATACATATATATATACGTATACATATATACACATATACATATATATACGTCTACATATATATATATAAACATATACAGGCAGCCCCCAGAAGGATTCGATATGGCGCCCAGGTTTTACCTATGAGCGATTTGGGGCCTACATTAATTATTAACAGTGGATACTGTGGATAAGGTTTTTTAGAGTTGTTTTCTAAACATGAATCAGGCGTGTTCGCAGGCAGGTAGGGTGCAGTTTGGCACACCAGGCTATCCCATGAGTGCTATGGCACCTACGTATGTTTTAACCCTTTATCTACTGACGGTACTTTAAGTACCAATTTAATTAAGTGCATGTATTATTATTAATTTAATACGAATTTTAAAAATTATTGATGTAATTAATAGTATTATCTCCCCAGAGTCGCCGGTAGTTGGAGGGATCGATGTTTTTTGAAAATTTCTGGCGTGGCGCCATTTTTAATCTCATGTTGTTAGTTCACAATTTTTCTGTACAGATCTCACACAAGTTCCTGATTTCCCTTCGTTTTACTTTATTCATCATGTTTTCAACCCCAAATATTTTTATTGGCACCTTCAATAGTCAGGCAAATGCATTTAACTTCTAGTTATACAATTTTAATCAAATTGTCTTTGTTTTAGATCAATGTTTACAAGTGGACTTGTAAGTACTGTCAGGGCACACGGTCATTTTTTTTTAGGATTTCTAGGAAATGGCAGATTTTTTATGTGGAGTGACATAAATATTATTTTTATTATTAATCATCAAAATGTACTCAAA